AATACAAGGAATGAGAAGTTAGTATTCATTTTGAGTTTTAGCATCATGTGCTTTTGTATCACCGATTTCAATACTCTTCAAAAAATAAGTATCAAGAAATCTGTTAATCAATGTGTTAGTTTATAAATTCCAAGACTTTTTATTTTTTATTCTAATTAAAACATGCAAATATGAGAACTAATATTTCTTTGATATATATATATATATATATATATATATATATATATATATATATATTATATATATATATATATATATTATATATATATGTTCTATGGAAAACAAAAAATCCTAAAAAACCCTAAAAATTCATAAAAAAAAATACTTAGATATCATAAAAAAAAATTGATTTTTTTATGAAAAAATCGCTGCTTTTAATACAAAATCGTTGAAATTTTTTTTTGAAAAAAAAGCTTCTTTTTTTTTTTAAAAAAGAAAAAAAAAAAAAAAAAGCATATTGATTTTTTATTTTTTTTTCAGCGGTTTTATTTAAAAAGTTGTTATTTTTCATTAAAAAATTCAAAATTTTTATTTGTGACATGTTGGTTAGTTTGTACATATTTGTCAGTCTTAACTTCCCCTCCCATTAGCATATCGGATAGCCTTACCGACTTACCATCGTCACGACACAGTTCATTCATAAAGTAGAACACCAGAATTTGAGTTATTCCGTGAAACGAATCAACAATTAGTTTTCCTCAGTATTTACAAGCAGTTTACCTGCAAAATGATTTTTTTTCCTAAGAAAAAAACCAAACAAACAACCTAAAAGGCCAGTTTCACTCAACTTTCCTGTGCACTATCCCCCCTAACTCTTTCCCTGAGCATTAATCTGATAACGATGGAGGGTCGTTGGTTCCAGAAGGAAGATCGGTGGAAAGACAGAGCGCTATGTCTACAACACCGCCCCAGAGATCGTTTCCGAGTCGTCGTCGACCAACACCGTCGCCGACATAGGTCCAGTGGGTACGTTTCCTCTTCGACGCAACCCTGGCTTCAACGCTTTCGCCATTTCCGAAGTCAAACATTAGCCACTTCTTCCACTTTATACCGTAAAATAGGTTCGGCTAAAACCTACTACAATTGAATTGCCTGCCTGTATCCATAATTCACTTTTATCTGCGTGAATTGAAAGAATCAGTAAGATAATCTTATTTTATGGCAATAATTTTTTTCTTGACCTAAGGTGATACCTGCGTATATGAATTAATGTGGGACATAAGGAACACATGTGTAATCAGAAGTGGTAATGTTCAAGATATATGAAATCGTTTTAGAATTTCTTGTGTACAAGAATTGCAGTTCATTTTATGGTAGTGAAAATGGGCATTATTGTTGAAGTCATTTGCTTATAAATCTATCAGCTAAACCTATATGATTAACACATGAACAACAGTACACAATCCTTGTTGATTTTGTGAAGGTGATGAAGAAGCTATATATAATTAGCAAAGTAAATCAAACACTCCTTTAAACTTCTAGATATAGAGTACATGTCATGATGTTAGTGCATTTTTCTGTATCTAGCACATATGATTAGCAAAAGTAAATCAACTGTGTTTTTTTTAATATGTAATCTGCAGTTAGCAAAGAGTTTGATACAGAAGAGGATTCAGTTCTTACCCAAATACTTCAGGCTGTTGCTGTTCCTGTTATTGGAAATGTTTGCCATGTTTTCATGCATGGACTAAATCATGTCCAGGTAAATGAAATGATCTCAATTAAGTCTCCTAATTTGTAATCACCTCAAAAAAAATGTTGGAAGTAGTTCTTGCTTTGTATTGCAGATATATGGAGGTGAAAAATTACAACAAGGATTGCTCAACAGACCTGATAAGACACTACTTATCACAGTAAGCCAATGATGAACATTGTGCTATGTTGTTTTTTCATCATTCTTCTACATATCCTTGAATGGGTTGTTTAATAAATGTAGGTAAGCAATCATATTGCTTCCATGGATGATCCATTGGTTATTGCTGCACTTCTTCCTAAAAGTCTTCTTTTGGATGCTCGTAACTTGAGATGGACACTTTGTGCTACTGATCGTTGCTTCCGTAATCCACTCACTTCTGCATTTTTTAAGTGTGTTAAAGTTCTTCCTGTCTCTCGTGGTGAAGGAATTTATCAGAAGGTATGGGTTCACGTGCTTTTTTCCTTGTGCAATGATCCTTTAATTTCTTTTCTGGGGTTGATTAGTTATATTTGACCTATCAAAAAAACATCTAACTGGAGATGCATTCATTCTCATATGGTTAATTTTTGGTTAGGGTATGGATGTTGCCATTGCAAAACTAAATAGAGGTGGGTGGGTCCACATATTCCCTGAAGGCAGTCGTTCCCGAGATGGTGGATGTTAGGTGCATTTCATGTACCCATTTTGTAGTTTTAATCCATATAAGTGCATTGCATTTAGGTTTAAACTCATGTATTTTGCATGTTTTTCGGGATTTTTCATGAGGCAATTTCATTCAAATACTTTTGTGATATTTTAGGGACTTTTGGAGGTAGGATCTTGTTGGAGGAGGTAAATAAAAGTTGCGGACAAAATTTCGGGACTTGCGGAGCACCGAGGAGCAAGATATCAATGAAAAGAACATTTTGGCTTTACAGAGATTTACACGGCCGTGTAAATGCAAGCCTTGCGTTTACGCGGGCCTTGTAAACGTAGATTTCTGCGCAGTATACTTTTGCGTTTACGTGGGCCGTGTAAATGACAGTGTTAATTTACGCGGGCCGTGTTAACGTAAACGTGGGTTTTAAAGCAGTTTTTCACCATTCTTAAAGGGGGGAACCGACTTTTTACTTTGGGGGGTCGACTTTTGGAGTGGAGAAGGCAAATTTCTTGAGGATTTTGAAGTTGATTAACACTTGGGAACATTTGATTTCATTTTGTAAGAACTTTAATTTCATTTTCTAGATTTGTGATCTTGTTCTAGCCATGAGTGGCTAGAACCCTAAATTCTCCAACTTTATGTCTTGACATTTGGATGTGATTTCAATCATATGACTTGATGTTTGCTTTCAATTTTCTATCTAGTGAATTTGATTTTGTCTCAATCGAATGTTTGATTCTAATTGTGATTCTTATTGGCCATTTGAATTAGGGTTAGATCATTCAAGTTATCTAATTGCAAAATCCGTAATTGTTTTGTAAATTGGACTAGGTAACAAGCACTAATCTGATTTCTATTGAATGAAATTAGTGTAAATCTATTCACACATTCTTATGCTCCCGAGCTTATGAGGAGTATTGAGTATTGTTGGGAACATTCACATAAAGTTTAATGCAATCTTTCAACCTAATTCTAAGAGCTTGTTTAGATTAGATTGGTAAGGTTAGGATTAATCAAAGAGCTTGTTTTGGTTAATTATTGTGGTGAATGGGAAGTGTTAGAGCTTGTTAACACTTTCAAGTACCAACTTAGATAGAATTAAACAAATATCTTGTCATCCATGGAATCACATTGCTAATTTGTCTTGCATAGAGTTGGAGTTCTCACAAATCCTGAATTTGTTTCATTTAATTGATCATTTACTTATTGCTTTATTCTTTTGTTTAAATCATTGCATACCAACCCCCCATTTATGTGACCATTATTGTACCTTTCGCAAAAAGGTATAAGCACTTGTCCCGTGTCTCTGTGGATCGACCCTGCTTACCTTGTATTACATTTTTAGTGCAAAGTAACAGTGTTTTGGAGTCATTTTGTACCCCTTCATTTGTTGGGTTTGACACGCCTAACAAATTGGCGCCGTTGCCGGGGACACGGTGTTACTAATTGTTTATGCCAAGCATTTTGTGAGCAGGTTCTTTCAAAAAAAAAGTCAGGTAGAAGATAAGTTTTCAATTGAAGGAAGTGGCGAGAAGGTTAATGTGTTGTAAAGGTCCACTTACTTAGAACAAAGCACATTCAGGGGCCAAGTCGAACCAACGACTTAAAACAAGGGCAGCTAACCGGGAGGCAACCCGGGGGGTTTTTTTTTCCTTTCTTTTAAAACTTTTTAGTCTTTGGTAAATTTAAATTTTGTTTTTCTATCCCAAATGGTTTTAACTTATTTTTTATGCCTAGAAAATGAATCTCCGGCTCCAAAAATACTTCACGGATAGCTTGGGGAGGATGAAGAGGAGGTTCTCACCACAATTTCAAGGCTTCAAGAACGATTTGGTAAATTCTTTCCATATCTTTAGTCGTTCATATTTTGCTTAAAAAATCAATTGGTATGCATTTGTGACTGTTTTGGACCCATTCCCAACCCAGCTACCATCCTCCACCATCCGACTCTCAATAGGCCGGCTATGCCTCTCTCCAAGCATCGAGGACGATGCTTATTTTAAGCTTGGGGAGGGGCATCCATCCATGTATAAATCCCGTTGCATGTAGGTTGCATGTAGTTTTGTACATAGTGCATTAATTTTCATTTCATTTTTTTTCCAGCGTGGAAAATTTTTCAGAAACCAAAAAGATTTTCTTTCTATTCTAATTTTTATTATTTTCTTTGCATTTTGTTTTCATCTAAATTTTGCATTGCATTCATTGCATAAATTTTTCTTTGATCCAATCCCAAGCAACCGAATCTTTTCAAAACAGTTGAGATGGTAAGTGAGTTGTGTGCCTTGAGAATTAACCTGCTCTTTTTATTGAAAATTTGAAAGCAAGTTAATCACACACGAGCACATCTCCCGAAGCTACTTGTGCAAAACAGAAAATGAGAAGATTATCAACACTGGAGCATAACAGCAGGTATGAGTTAATTCTTTGGGACATATGACCGATCTTATAAGTAATAATGCTCAATAGAACTTAAAATGCCAAATTCAAAAGTTCATACAAAGAATGCAAAATCTCAATGTCCCGCCTTCCAGCGCTCTTAAAAGTCCTTTCTACTCATTCCCTTTTATATACCCTGCTTGGGGATATAGCTTTCAACTATACTTACGGGTCTTTGCATGTTAACATTTAGTCCCTCGAAAAATGTTAGAAGTCCTCACAGTAATAAACCGTGAGATGTCCCACAATAGAAAATTCAAGGACGAAAATATAAAGAAAGTGGCCAAATAAATAAATTAATAAGAGTGTTATGTGTTAACTTAGTTATTTGTACATGTGTTACTTAAAATTAAAAAACAAAAAAAAAAAAAAAAAAAAAAAAAAAAAAACTATTATTAAGTTAATCTGTGACCTTTGGGATTCGAACAAGTAAGCTCTGAGGGGTGTTTTACACCTAATCGCCTAAAGCTAAATTGTATGGGACTGATTGAGTTGAAAATTCGTTACACAGGTTCCATAGAAAGTCATGAACTTAATAATAGCAAATAAAGCTAATCTGTGGCCTTTGAGGTTCGGGCAAGTAAACCCGAGGGATCTCTTTAAATCTAGCACACTAAGGTCATTTGATTTGGATGTGTTGGTTGGAAGCCCGTTACACGGATTTCAAAGAAAGCCATGAGCTTTATTTGTAAAAAAAATGTAATTAGGAAGTTTGTATATAATTGTGTTTATAGTTTAATTGAATACTGTGTTTAGGAAAAATACTTGGCTGTCAAATGATTCCCTTGGACTTGGATTTGAATTTATGACATTGGACTGAATGTTAATTACTTCGACTGGTGTAAGTGGTTTGAAGTTTGTAACCAATCTGGATAAATATTAGGGAATTTTTAGAAAAGATTTTTCAGAAAAAGATTGTTGTTGACCAACAAATAGCTGGAATCAAACATTGTTATATTTTATGAAACAAAGATGGTTGAGCATGTTTTGTCACATATAATTTCACGAGAGTAAGACCATAATTTGTTCCAATAATTAACTTGATGATATTGAAAAGGAATAAGTGTTGTGATCTTTGATTCTGTTGAGTTGTACTAGGGAGTGGCCAAAGTCTTGTTTCTATTATCATATAATATTTTGAGACTAAAGCCAAGTTAACTCAAGGCATGACAGGTACATTCTCAACTATGGTACAAAACAGGGTAATTGGGTTGGATCTTTTCATGTTTGTTTTGATTTCATGCATTAAGTTTCAAATAGTTTTAACTTTTCTTTTCTTTTCTTTTCTTTTTATTTTATTTTCTTCGGTTTAAATTTTCTTTTCTTTCTTGAGGACAAGAAAGGTTTAAGCTTGGGGAGATTTGTTAGGTGCATTTCATGTACCCATTTTGTAGTTTTAATCCATATAAGTGCATTGCATTTAGGTTTAAACTCATGTATTTTGCATGTTTTTCGGGATTTTTCATGAGGCAATTTCATTCAAATACTTTTGTGATATTTCAGGGACTTTTGGAGGTAGGATCTTGTTGGAGGAGGTAAATAAAAGTTGCAGACAAAATTTCGGGACTTGCGGAGCACCGAGGAGCAAGATATCAATGAAAAGAACATTTTGGCTTTACAGAGATTTACACGGCCGTGTAAATGCAAGCCTTGCGTTTACGCGGGCCGTGTAAACGTAGATTTCTGCGCAGTATACTTTTGCGTTTACGCGGGCCGTGTAAATGACAATGTTAATTTACGCGGGCCGTGTAAACGTAAACGTGGGTTTTAAAGCAGTTTTTCACCATTCTTAAAGGGGGAACCGACTTTTTACTTGGGGGTCGACTTTTGGAGTGAGAAGGCGAATTTCTTGAGGATTTTGAAGTTGATTAACACTTGGGAACATTTGATTTCATTTTGTAAGAACTTTAATTTCATTTTCTAGATTTGTGATCTTGTTCTAGCCATGAGTGGCTAGAACCCTAAATTCTCCAACTTTATGTCTTGACATTTGGATGTGATTTCAATCATATGACTATGTTTGCTTTCAATTTGTGAATTTTGTCTCAATCGAATGTTTGATTCTAATTGTGATTCTTATTGGCCATTTGAATTAGGGTTAGATCATTCAAGTTATCTAATTGCAAAATCCGTAATTGTTTTGTAAATTGGACTAGGTAACAAGCACTAATCTGATTTCTATTGAATGAAATTAGTGTAAATCTATTCACACATTCTTATGCTCCCGAGCTTATGAGGAGTATTGAGTATTGTTGGGAACATTCACATAAAGTTTAATGCAATCTTTCAACCTAATTCTAAGAGCTTGTTTAGATTAGATTGGTAAGGTTAGGATTAATCAAAGAGCTTGTTTTGGTTAATTATTGTGGTGAATGGGAAGTGTTAGAGCTTGTTAACACTTTCAAGTACCAACTTAGATAGAATTAAACAAATATCTTGTCATCCATGGAATCACATTGCTAATTTGTCTTGCATAGAGTTGGAGTTCTCACAAATCCTGAATTTGTTTCATTTAATTGATCATTCACTTATTGCTTTATTCTTTTGTTTAAATCATTGCATACCAACCCCCCATTTATGTGACCATTATTGTACCTTTCGCAAAAAGGTATAAGCACTTGTCCCGTGTCTTTGTGGATCGACCCTGCTTACCTTGTATTACATTTTTAGTGCAAAGTAACAGTGTTTTGGAGTCATTTTGTACCCCTTCATTTGTTGGGTTTGACACGCCTAACAGTGGATCAACTATGGGTTCTATAAAGAGAGGCGCTGCAAGGTTAGGATCTCATTTTCTCTTATATGCCTATTGCCTAAGGCCTAATCTTATCTTCTTACTGGGTGTGGTAAGAGATTGGGTCTGGTATGACTCGGTCAGATTTGACTCAATCAGCAACTATCAAACAAGGGTAGAGCCAACAAAACAATTAGGGAAGGGAAGTCTAGTGTAGGTAGACTGTGTGTGAGGTGATCAAGAATTCATGATCAACCATTTAGTTTTTAGTTTTCAAGTGGATGGCTTTTTATTGTTTGTCTGACCTAAATATGGTTAATTGTCGCCTTTTTGTTGTCTTTATCCAATACTCAATATGGTTAAGGCCTAAGGGTTAAATGCAAGAAATAGAAAAGGTACTTTTATTGATTTGTTTATAATATTATAGCATCCTACTTTCATTTCTTACCATAGAACATTCTACTTTGAATAAATCTACCAAATTATAACAATGTCATCCAATACAAAGCAATTTTCACTGCTATAATTGGATAGTTTTTTCAAAGCATGGTATCCTAATAAGAAAGAGAATTCAAAGTACTACAATATGAAGAAATGAATGTACTATGCTATAAGTACACAAAAAATTTGAAAATTCTTCCACATTGTTAATCTTGAATGCTATAATTTTTCATTCAAAGGGTTATTTTTGAATTAAAGTTGAATAGCCATAATTGTTTACTAAATTTGAAAATTCTTCCATAGGTTAATCTTGGATGTAGATAATGCCCCGATGGTTATTCCATTTGTGCATGCAGGGATGCAAGAGATGATGCCTGTTAGAGCCTCGTTTCCTAGGGTTGGTAAAACGGTACAAATATTTGTAACATGTTCTGTCATGTCATGTCATGTTCTGTTTGTCTTGTCATGTGTTGTCCTGTTGCAAAAAACACTATTTATGTTTCTAATCGGTGTGAAATTTTTAGGTGACGGTACTTGTGGGTGATCCAATCGACTTCAAAGATGTACGAGACTGGGAACAGGACAACATTGTTCCAAGGGGAAATCTATATGATGTTGTCTCTACAAGGATTGGTGGTCGTCTCATTAAACTAAAAGCACAACTTGACAAGTTACTTCAAGTGCAAACCGACGATGTTGTTCAACATTTTGATGATAATAATGATAATAATAGCAATAAGCAGGATCACGAGGAGTATTTTAAGGTTGAATCTTCTTACAAAGGCTTTGGGATTGACCTCATGGGTTTTGCTGCAAGAGGTTTGTTTGTGAATCAGAAAATGAAGGAACATGTGGTTGAAGGGGGGATAAGTATAAGGCCTTTGCCTTTGAAGGCATGGAACAGTTTTTGGAGACAACTGTTGCATAATAATAATAATGGAGTTGCTTCACTCTCTATGTTGTCGGGGGCCACTTGAGACTTTTAGGTCCATAGAAATAGAAAGCCTTGTTTGTACCATGTGTTTGGCATGCATTAGACTGGTAGCGAGTGAATGAGATAAAATAAAAATGTGGGACAAAGACTCCCCTCCTCATCTCTTGTTTCTTGTGTGTGAGTGTCCTTATTCTCATCCTTCAAAACAGTCTTAGAAAGCTTGTAAAGCTCTTTTTGGGTAACAAACAAACATGCAAATTGTTCATTCTAGATTAAAATGTATAACAATTTTTTGACTCATTGTTGAATGCTTATTTTATATGATAAATTGTAATTATTTGCCGTTTTATGTAACTTACACATATTATGCAACCATGTTATCTTGTTAAATATGCTACATGATATATTGTGGTTCTAGAACGACATCCCATTGCATATTTGACTAAGAAACATGCAAAAATGGGAAGAAACTGTGAAAAAACCTGTGTAAAGTGTAAACAGACATTAGTTAAGGCCATAGAGGCGAAGATAATAACTTACTTTGGCTTTTCCTTTCTCATTTTTATATTTTACTAACACATGCTGACAGATGGAAATTATGTTATAATGATTAATAGAGAAAAAGGAAAAATATGTAAATCACTCCTAGCACCTTGGCACGCAATTTTTTAATTGTCACTTTATTTTTCTTCATTTAGCACCTAATCTTAACATTTAGTGTGAGTGGTAGCATCAAATAGTGTTATTTTTATTTAAAAAAATAATAATAGAAGGAAAAGAAAAAAGCAGCAAGCCAATCAAAATCCATTTCCCTTCTCTTTCTCTCTTTCCTCTCTACATGACTGGCGAGCCACTTTTGGCGACGACCTTAGTGAGTTTGAACGGAATTGCTTTGGCGATCTTAGCGAGCTGGAGGTGAGTCCCTAGCGAGGGCCACTCCCTCCAGCCTAAGAGTTAAGTGCCCACAAAAAACCAAAACCCCCACATGTTTCTTTTTCTGCAAAAATACTGACAACTGAAGAGCAAGTTTTGTTTCATGGAAATGACAAGTCACCATGGATATAGTTATCATTCTTCACAATTCAAGGCCTATTATACACTTTTTTTTTAAATATCCAAATTTAATTTAAGCTTTTCTATAGAACACAACCTCACCCACCCTCAAAATTAAAACACCAAAAGGGAGCCGGATGTTGACCGGTTGACAATCAATGTTTGACCCCAACAAAACACAAACCTACTTCAGCCTGAGCCTGCAACTCTTCCAAGACCTTTACAAGATGTTCCCGAGGCATGTTTATGTCCGCCTTCTCTGCAAGCATTTTCCTCAATCTTCATCCATCCATCCACAATCACATGCACATAACAAAATAACAATTAAAAAAATAAAAACCCTTACTATAAATGCTACTTCAAAAATATATGTTTCAACTTGTTCTTACCAATATAGGTAAAAACAATATATGTATGGGTAAAAAAATTGTACCTTCGAACAATTGCAGAGTCTCCATGACCTGAGCAAACTATTAGCATGGCATTGTTAGGTAAATTGGAGTAAATATTTTTTATTCTGGAATTCAATTGATTAAGAACTTGCTTCAAATCAGGTGTGACTGTGTACTTGATGCTTTTTCTAGCCTTGGACTTGTTATTACTACAAGTAAGCAAAGCTATCATCTCAGCCACTTTGGTATTCAATGCCACATCATCATCCGCTTGTTTCTTGTAATAACCACTCAGTTCTGTAAACTGGGCCCACACAAAATGTACTTTCTCATTTTTTACCTGTGGTTAATTAAATGATTAAAGTAATAGCCTCCAATACATATGTAAATGTAAGTACATTGTTATTTATTGCATTTAGCCCATAATTATAGGATAAGTAAAGTACTTCTTTAATGGCTTTCGAAAGAGCTTCATCATCACAAGTCACAGGAATGGAATGTGATGATTCTGAAGCATATCTTTTCACTATTGATATATTATCAATAAAAGATGAGGCCTTCCCAGAGTCACCCAAAACTGTAAGAAATTTTTTCCTTGTAAATGATGGAGGTCGACCAAAATCAGGCCCTGTTTCAAAAAAAAACAAGTGGATAAATTATACTGAACATAAAAAACTATAGTGAAAATTTTTCAAACTATGAGATCTCATCATTGCCAGTTGCCAAAAGAATGATAGGTTAACACTTTTTGTTTTATATAAAATTAGGTTGATATTACCTCCGCCTTGCGAGAGTGTAATTTGTAAATTTTGTATTAGGTAGGACCATTTTTGTAATTTTTTTAAAATGTGGACCGTTTCTGGAAATTAAAGGGACAGTTTTAGTAACTTATTTTCTACACAGGGACCAAACCTGCCAACATACGTAAGTCTTAAAACACATGGACCTTTTCTGTAAAACAAATCTGCACATGGACCTTTTCTGTAAATTACAGGGACTGTTTTCGTTATTTATTTTCTATGTAAGGAACAAATTCAAACCTCACTTTTGTAAATTTGGTATTAGGAAGGGGCATTATGTAATTTTTTTTAACATACACACCATTCCTGTAAATATAATTCTGCACAGGGACCTATTCTGTAAATTACAGGGACCGTTCTTGTAATTTACTTTCTATGTATGGACCAAACATGTCAAACCTGCAAATTTGCAGTATACAAAAGGTAAAGGGGTGGAAAATGTAGGTGTTCAGATTTGAGAGGGGTAAAACTGACATTTTACAAAGTAGGGGGTGGAAAGTGCAAATGTATCAAAGTCTAGGAACCAAATCTGCCAACATAAGAAAATTTTGTGGCCAAAGTCTAAAGTAACAAACTTTTGTGGCCAAAGTCTAAAATAAGAAACTTTTGTGGCCAAATTCTAAACCCATAAAACCCTAATATGTCTTGGTCTAAGTAATCGGGACAATACATTTGATACATAGTTAAAAGAAAGAATAAAAAATGAGTACAAGAGTTTTAAATTTTTTTACCATTTTTAATCTTTAAAAAGGCTAGATCCATTGCAGCTTTTGCATCCTCAATACTATCATGTCCATTTCCTGAACCTTGTATTTCTCTCTCAAGGAATTTCCTTGTGAGGACACGAAGTGCAATTTTGTAGGTCCCACCTCGCGAATGCTTGTATAAAACAGCTGTGTCAATCACCAAATTATGACAGATTTTTAAAGCCAATAAATCATTCTCCAATGAATGTCCAACTAAAATCGTTTCTCTATTAACTATCTGTAGAAACTCTTCCTGAAATTAAACCATGGTTTAGTAATTAGTATTTAGTAATTGGTAATTGTTGATTAATTTAAAAAACTAGACAATAGAATTTAAAAAACGGAAAACCTGAATGTCTTTTAGAGTTGTTGTGACTCCATTCAACATCTCACTAGTTATTCCACTATACCTGAATACAGAAACCTCTTATTAATATTATATACATACAAAAAGATTTAATTGGTTTGCTTATGTGGAAATTCAAACAGAAGAAAGTACCTAGTGTTGTAATCAGTTATTGTATTTGTTGGTTTAACCAATTTATCCAACAAAACCTGAAAAATACACCATAACTTTATTGTAAGATGATTAGGTTAAGTTTTATAAAACTTAATTCAGTAGACTATATTGTGTGTGTGTGTGTATATATATATATATATATATATATATATATATATATATATATATATAGGTGTTTTCTTTTGACTTAATGGATAAACTTTGTATGTTATTTCAGCTACTTGTTTATTATAATAAGAGATAAGAGATTAAAGCATGATTAAATTTAAACATTATGGAATGAGGAAGCTCAAATTTTAAGCTACCTGTCCTTTAAAATCTATCAGTGTTACTCTTGTAAGCTCAAATCCCTCATTTGTGATACACTGAAATATTTCATGAAACAATATAAATGAAAAGGTATTCACCAAAATTATTATTAAATTAAATCTTTGTAACAATTAACAAAATCCTTACCATTTCACAATCAACTCCCACTATTTCATGGGTGGGTTTTCCAGATGTTGCAGGAAGAGTTGAGAGAAAATCTGAAATAAAACAGTCAAAAGTTAAGACCTGAAACATTTCTTTTAAGCAAAAACTATCGATTGATAAATTAAAAGCAATGTAAACAAAGAAATACAAGAGGAAGAATCTGGTAACCTGATTGATCATGGATGTATCCATTATCTTCTAATTCCTTTGTGGTAAGGGTATAATAGGAAATTGGAAATGGGATGTTTTTCATGAGCTCAGAAAATGCCAAATCATCACGAATAGGCCATGTTCCTGAATAAATATTAAATAACAATTATTCTTATTTCAATTTCACATGCTAATTAATATCTACCAAAATCTTTTGATTATTATGCAAATACGTATAAACATGTCTTATATCATCCATAAATAAATTAAGTATAGCAAATAGTTGCATTAGCATAGCATTTTTACAGGGGCAAAAATGACCGAAATGTCCTTGGAGTGAACTTAAAAAATTTGTTACCTTGTTCAGATATAGGTCTAGATTTCTTTGTAAATGTATCTGCTTCTCTTTTTCTCTTAACCTTACATGTAAGAAGAGCATCTATAGTCTGCATTCCATCTGATACACAGCTGTGAAAAGATTAAAACATGATTGCTATGAGTCTATGAGAATAGTTATTAGTTATATTCAATAAACAAGTGAAGGGGCAATTATGTCAAAACACCAACCTGGGCGCTAACACTGCCCTTGGGATGCCACAACATTCTTTTAAGCTGTGTAGTATTTTAGACTGTGAGAGGTAGATTGCTGCATCAAGACCAGGGACATATAGCATAACCACTTTTGGAATCAGAGGCTTATTCTGCAAATGAAAAACTGATCTTTTTAAACAAAAACATTGTTCATTTGTTTATATGCAAAAGATCCTACATTGAATAAACTCTATTAGAAAAGGAAAAGAATGAAGGGTCACAACCTTAATGAAAACCCATGATGGCATGAATCCTTCAGCAAGTACCCATGTTATAAGCCCCTGAACATCCTGTTAAGTTTACATAAACCCAAATCTTAAAACATTTAAACTTTAATGACTAAACTATGTAACTTATTCTAAAACTTTATGGCTGCATTTGTTCTGGGACAAGACTTGAACAAACAGGTCTTATGTGATTATTGAAACTCACTTCCAAGTTAAGAGTTGAATTCGCTTCTGGGGTCTTAAACTCAACACCTGCTTTTGCCTGTATTACATCCACGATAAAAGTTATAATACACCACAACCAAAAGAAGCAAATGTGAAACATCAAAATTTAACTCAGTATATGCCCATCGATTATTTCAGTCATTCAGCTCTTCTCTAGACCTCTTTTCCTTGTGAAATCTCCCAAATATGGTACTTTTTAGCTATCAATCTTAATGTTTTTTTTATGAAATAATAACAACAGTTTTAGTAATAAGCCATTAAAGTCGGTCTTTTTGGGCATATAGTAGTATATTAGGTTAATACATCTGCCAGTTTAAAGAAAAAAAAAGTGAAGATTATTGAAAGAACCTGGGGGCCATAGACGTCAAAAAACGCGTTGTTTGTATCGCTAGTAGTGCAGACTTCATCTCCTTTAGAATTGTTTATCGGAGAGCCCATGGTCTCCGACGACTATTAGGGTGCTGAACTGCTGATGAGGAAAGGAGTATTGGGGGTTTCTGCTGCAACTAAGGGGCTGTTTGGCAGGATCTGAATGTTTAAGAGCTGAATTTTTAAGAGGTCTGAATTTCTAAGAGGGTCTGAATTTTCAAATACTGTTTGGTTGAAACCTCTGAATTACAGTGCTGAATTATAAAAATGACAATTTTACCCTTCTGTGTTATTTTTTGTTGAATTTAACGTTTTTGTTTATAACATAACTGAATCAACTACTTGAATAATGATAAAAAATAAATAAATATAAAAACACCATATAAAATCTAAATTAAACATAAATGAAAATTAAACATTTATCCAAATCAAACATACCTCTATCATTACTTGATTATACTCAAAGCAACTAATTACAATAATACAAGAAAATCAAAGATTATACCACAAATAACAAACCTATTTCTTAATTGTTGTACCCAAAACAATTAAAAGCACCATAACAATGATAACCTAAAACATATCTAAAAAAGTAAAAATCTTCTATTCTCTTGTTAATTTTCACTTATTCCCCAAAATACCCTTTCTGTGTAAACCATAATTTCTTTACTTCAATCCATAACAAATATGATGTTAATGAATGCTTGGTATGAATCTTCTCCACTAATAGACACCGCATGTTCAAGATATAGCATCATACTTTCATTTAGTGAATCCATAACATTTTAATAATCAATTTCACAGATTTCAGCATAGTTTCACAAGATTTCACAGATTTTTCAGAATTAATAAGCATACTTTCATAGCATCATTTCAGAAAAACAACAAATCAAAAGAAAAAAAATACTTCATTTGTTGTTGTTGGAAAGTAGAAAAACAAGAGAAACAACAAAAATCAAGATTTCACAACAATGTTTTTCACATATTTCAGCAACATTTCACAATAAAAACGAAGAGAAACAAGAAATCAGCAAGATTTTCAGAAAAATTCAAGCAAAAACAAAAAGAAACAAGATTTCACAGCAAAAACGAAGGAAAAAAAAAAAACCCGCGATTGCATAAAACTATACGCCATCTGATTTCAAAAAAATAATAATAATAATAATAATAATAATAATAATAATAATAATAATAAAAAAAAATCTATGAAATCACCCAATTCAGGGAAACAACAAAACTATACGCCATCTGATTTCAGAAAAAATAAAAGAAAAAAACAACAAATTTTCTATGAAATCACCCAATTCAGGAAACATAAAATTGCAAAAATCATCGGTATCAGAAAACGATAGCACATCTGAGTAATCACTGATTTCAGAAGTTATTTGTGTGTGTGTTGATGAGAATAAAAGACCGAAGGCATGATATTACCTGTAGAAGTCGTTGCACAAGTTGTCGGAGGTGGAGCCGGAGGTGCTGTGGCGTAGCAATTGGAGGTGGTGCCGGAGGTGCTGTGGCCTAGCAGTCGGAGCTGGAGACGGAGAGGAGGCCGACGACTGCAAAGACGGGGAGGGAACACAACTTCGATAGATCGATGGAGGTTTGTGTGTGCGTGTTGATGAGAAGAAAGGAGTGAGGCGTGATTTCGAGAAAAAAAAAAAAAAAAAAAAAGAGCGAGAACTTTAGGGCAGCTGCGTGTTTTTTTTTTTTTTTGATGAGGGTGAAGTCTTTTTAAAAGGGTATTTGTATTTTAAGAGGTACCAAACAAGTTATATTTTAAGAGGTCTTTTAATTTTTCAATTAAAAGAGAAACAAATAGGATCTAAGTTTTAAAGATACAAGCTTGTTTTTGTGTTTAATTTTGAAAATCTTGGGCTAAATATGTGGATCCCTTAAAAGCTTTTGCATAGACTGAGGGTCTTAGGGTTCGGGTAGAGGTAGCATGTAAATTTAATTCACGGTATTTTTATTTATAGCGGGGGTGTTTGGATTAGTTTATTTGTTGTGGGAATAAGTATAAGCAATAAAAAATTAGCAAAGGGGATATGCTTATTAAAATTAACTTATTTAATTTATTCCTAACACAATAAGTTGATTTTTAAGAATTTTATCCAAACACTTAAACTTAACTTATTGTGATAGGAATAAACAATAAGCAATAAGCACTCTCTTTTTTTTCCTATCCAAACACCCCTTAAATTATGATGTTTGAGGTTTTAGTTACATTTATATAGGGATAGGTTTGAATTTATTTTTATATTAACTGTAAAATAATAGTTTTTTAATAAAATGTTTTGGGGTTAATATCAATATAGCACAATAAACTTATGTATTTTGTCCGATTTGACAATTTACATTTTTTTCTTGCGTAATAGACCATCGAAATTTTATTGTACATGTTAATTAAACCATTATTGTTAGTTTTTAACCATTCATCCGTTAACCAGTCATCTGAATTACACGAATGGCTATTATTATTTAAAAAAAAATCGCAGTGGGTCCCTTACCAGCTATGGTTTTAAATTACACAACCAAAATTGCCACATTTATGAAACTATGGGGATCAAAGTGTAACATTCTCATCATCTTCCTCTAATCCTTCTATTCTATAGTTCTTGAATATCTTTAGTGGTTCAAGGTTTGGAATCTCTAGTAGTAGAAGTGGTGCTAATATAAATTTGCAACCCAATGGTACAACTAGTTCTTCTGAGTCTAATAGGAGTAGTACATCCCAGTTCTCTTCAATTTACTCTTTCCTTTTCAGTTCAATTTATACATAATTAAATCAGAATTCCACGATTTCTACATCCAGTTCGAATGGTGCTGTTTATGGATCTAGAAGTGCAAATAGTGATGCGACGACAGTGAATAATGATCTGCCAAAGGTATCAAGTTCATATCTTGGCTTCTTGCTATGCTTTATGGGTTTAAGACTAGAATTGTGCTTATTTTAGGGTTTTGAGTCCTCCTTGCGAGATTGAGCCACTCCAGTAGCTAAGATTGCTAGATCTTTCCCTTTTTGAGTTTATAAGTTCGTAAAAATGGTATCTTGATCCTTGTTTTTGTTTTGTGCATGTTCTAGTTGGATTTATATGGGTCTTAATGGATTAAGATGGTTGTTGGGTCCCATTAAGACATGAAAATGCATAAAGGTGCTAACTTTATGCATTAAGAGCTTTATTTTATGGTTCTTTGAAGTTTGGGTGCAAAGTTCTTAAATGCTTAAGCCATAATATCAGTTTTGCAATAAGTCAGTTTACGAACCGCGTAATTGACTGTACGCCCAGCATACCGAGTGTTTGGTCACGATCTAGATTCGTCGAGTACCCAGCATAGTTGAGTGTATACCCCACGTACAACGCTCAACTGGGCTTTGGACTTGTTGTGTTTTTGGGCTTCGCATCTTTGGGTCACTTCTTTGGACTTTGTTGCTTTGGGCCTTTTGGTCCATTTGAGATCAACTTTTTGAGCTAAGGAATTATTAGACTTTAGGATAAGGCCCATATGGGGGTTAGGCCCAATTTTTTGTGGATCTATTGGTTTTATGCTATTTTGGTTTATGGATTTGGGCCTCAGTTTTTGTTTAAGTTGGGTCAGGGGTAAAATGGTCATTTTACCCCGAGTATGGATTTAGGCCTCAGTTTTGGTTCAAGATGGGCTAGGGGTAAAATGGTCATTTTACCCTAAGTATGGATTATGGGCCATAGGTTGGAACCCAATTTCCATTTGGGTGTTATTTTGTGCTGATAGCTTGGGAAGTCATCAGGGCAGCAGCTAGGGATTTCTTTCAGTGAGCTTCAACATTCGAGGTGAGTCTCCTCACTGTTCTATGGGTTGAATGCACCAATGTCGGCCCATTTGCTTTATGGTTTATAGGAAGACTCGGGGGTGGCCCTCGGCACGTCTGGTCCGCCCTCCTCGGGGCCTTCAGCCTATTCGGACCGCTCGTTGGGCCTTCGGTCTGACTAGTTTTTCCTGGCCCGGGCCTGCAGTCTATCCGGTCCTCCCAGGGTGTCTTGGCTTACTGCTAGGGATGAGATTTAGAACCGGAAAACCGGACCGGAACCGGAACCGAACCGGAACCGGACCCGTTAGAACCGGAATATATAGAACCGGGTCCGGTTCCGGGTTTAAAAATTGAATTTATCCGGGTTCCGGGTAATCCGGGTTTGGGTCCATTGGGTCCGGGTAAACCGGGTCTAAAATCCGGAACCGGTTTTTGGAACCGGAACCACTTTTAGGGCCGGAACCACTTTTTGTGAAACGTTTACAAGATGTATATCTTATTCGTTTCAACTCCAATTGACATACGGTTTTTTCCAACATGTAGTTTAGAGTTTGTACATGATTCTAGACTATAAATTTTTCATTTTTAGTTTTATATTCATTGACTTACAATCCTCAAAAGTTGAGATACCAAAGCTGAAAGTTTTTAGTTTTTTAGTTTTTTTATATTCGGTGAAAGTTTTAAAGCATGCATATCTAATTCGTTTGAAGTCGGATTGACATGTGGTTTTTTTTCAACTTCTAGTTTACAGTTTGTGCATGAGTTTAGACTATAATTTTGTCATTTTTGGTTTAACATTCAATGATTTACAGTCCTCCGAAGTCGGGATATCAAAACTGAAAATGTTTTTGTACTTTGTATTATGTGAAAATATTAACACAGGTATATCTCATTCGTTTAAATTCGGATTGACATGCGGGTTTTTCCAGAGTGTATTTTAGACTTTGTACATGATTTTGGACTCTAATTTTGTTAATTGTGGTTTCGTATTCAATAAGTTACAACCCCCCAAAGTGGAGATATCAATATGAAAATTTTCAAAGTTCAACCCACTAAGTTGTAAGTAATTACCAAAAATTCCGGTTTTTTCGGGTTTTTCGGGTCTAAACCCACTTTATCCGGTTCCAACCTACCCACTTTGATGTTTCCGGGTTTTCCGGTTCTAGACCCACTTTACCCGGAACCATAACCGGAACCGAACCGGAACCGGTTCCTATATACCGGTCCGGTTTCCGGTTCTATAAAATCCCGTTAACCGGTTCCGGGTTTTCCGGGTCCGGGTCCATCGGGTCCGGGTTTGGACCCACTTTCATCCCTACTTACTGCACACAACAAGACCTGCCTCAACCCTTTCCCCAAACCAACAAACATGTGCACATACATATAAACAAGTAAACATACAGATCTAACAGATCACTAACATGGCAACCATCCTATAACCAGGATACCGATCTAACTGATCTCTAGCGTATCAACCATCCTAAACCAGGATGAAATCTAGCATAGCAATAACATAGCAACCATCCTAAGCCAGGATGTAATCTAACATAGAAAACATCCTAAACCATGATGAAATCTAACATAGCAATAACATAACGACCATCCTAACCCATGATGTAAATCATAAGGGGTCGGCCTTGGTGTCGTAGACCCTGTTGATATAGTGAGGATAACTCACTTGACACTGCTGAAGTCCTACGGATGAAACTCCAGTTACTGGTTGACAGCTTCCCGAACTGTCCACATCAAACAATACCCAATTAGTAATTGGGTTAAAATACCCAAGACCAACTCACACTCCAAAAGCCCAAATTCAAGTAATGGGCCAAAGCCTAATATATGGCCCAATATCACATAATCATAAAGGCTCAATTATGGCCCATCAATGGACCAATTTTTCAAATTGGGCCCAATACTCTCACATGGGCCTTATCCTAAAACCCATATAATTATTCTAGCCCATTTGCTTATTCTTGGAAGTCCATTAATAGTTCAATCACCAAAGCCCAATAGGAAGGCCCAACTTAAGGCCCAAGTGGAATTAGGGTTTCCATATGAAATAACGATTAGGGTTATGTCACACCCCAAAAACCGGAACGACGGAATCGTTCGGAGGTGGAGGACGTCATGTACAGTATCACAACAATGCAAAGTAGTAAACAAGCAACAACATCATCCATTGCATTAATAATATAATTTTAATACAAGTGTGTTCTGTCAAGTTAAATAGACACCAAAATATGAATCAAAATAAAAGATGAGTCTTGAACGAGCTCTATATTCTCAAAACCTGGCATCGGTACCTGTCTACTAGTGACCTGAGAATACAAGTTATTTTGAAAGAGTTTATCAGCTTTAAAGCTGGTGAGATCATAAGTATATTAGTGCCTGTGTTTGTATGAAAGTGCTTGTAAGTATGTGATGTGTAAGTTTGTAAAAGTTTGTGAATGTTTGTAAAAGGTTTAAATCTCCTAGAAAACCATATGTTTCCTACTAACATTAGCCTTCTACCAAGGCATCTAGTGGTCGTGTGTGTGTCTCTTGAATGTATTTTCCCAAATCTGACTATCATTAATCAAAAATATAGTTTTTACATTACTGTATATTGTGTGAAGATCACAAAGTGAATGCAATGGGAAAAATGAAATAGTACTGTAGTGTTGTATTAAGTAACTATTGTTGTACTAACTACCTTAAACCAATTGTAATTTAAAGTACCATGTGATCGGCCTGTACCATACTACCGACTATAAACACGATGATGTAAGACGTCGGAAGGAATGACATTTGGCACCCGTAGATTTGCAAGTCCCACTATAGCGAGCAGCAAGCTGTAGGATAGTCAATCCAGTATAGATTCATACACAAACTCAGCGCTCTCCATTTAAGGAGATTCTGGATACAAGACGGGCCATGACAGGTGATGTCATGCCCCGTTACGTGGCTTACATAATTGTATTAGTGCACTTGTGTATGTATTGAATGTACTAGTTGTATTGTATGTTCTCTCTCTATCTAGTATGTATGTATGTTCTCTCTGTATGGTATTGTTTGTTCTCTCTCTGTCTAGCATGTATGTTTTCTTGTAAAATGTATAGTATGTACTAGCTGTATTGTAATGTACTGAATGTACTAGTTGTATTGACTCATGTATGAACTGACTCATTGTATGTTTCATTGTTCTAGTAATGGTATTAGTAACTCCCTAAACTACACCTATTATAGTTTACTAGTAATATGATTTGCATGTATGAACATGTTTGTATACCTTTGCTACCCAAAGGTATTGAATAGAAAGAAGGAAACTTTATATCTATATACATATACATAATATATAACTAGGATTCAAACGACCTTCGGAAAAATAACCGATACCCTAAGCCCACAACCAAACGAGGAACAGGAGGTAAGGTGAGTTATTAGTCCTAAGTCCTTTCAATCCTACTTATATAACTATATCTATAAAGATATACATTTAACAGAATATAAGTGTAAAAGAGTTTAAATAAAAGTATTTGACATGTAAAAGAGTTTGATAAAAGTATTTGACATGTAAAGGAGCTTGTAAAACAGTTTGAAAAGTAGTTTGTTTGATAACACAATTTGAAAGTAAGAAATCCACTTGTTTGGTAGTTATTAATCACATGTGATTGATATAATAACTATAATAGATCAACTTGTATCCCCCTCCCCCATAAAAGCATTTAAAATCATTTAAAAGATTGATTAAGGGGTATGAACTCACCTGTAGTGAGTGGTTTGGATGAACGGATGGTATAGGATGCTAAGTGTCAAGTGAAGACTTAAACACACACAAGGATCCTAGTTAACATATAATAACACATATATGTATCCAATTAGTCATTTAACAACTAATTAATCAAGTTAAGACACCCTAGGACATGAAAAACACCATGATTTAAGTGCTATAAGTACTAAGGATTGCATCTAAGGGTTGTAGGGCCTTGCATTTGAGTTTAGGGTCCAAGGGTAAACTCTTTATGAGTTTACGATTTTGGGACCAACTCCCTTGGAGTTTACGGTCGTAAACCCATGAGTTTACGGCCGTAAACCCATGGTACTTCTACTATCTTGTGTTTTGAAGCTTTATAAGTCATAAAGAAGCATTCCTACTTCAAGTCTAAGCCTTAGGAAGTGATTGTGGCATCATTTCACCCCTTTGTAGAGTTTACGGCCCATGGGCCATTTCTCCATGAGTTTACGGCTGTAAACTCTAATGTTTCATGGTATTTTTGATGTTTAAGGTCCTAAGCACATCAAGGATGGAATCTAGACTAGTATCCAAGGCTTGGTAAGGGACTAGGGCACACAATGGCCCATTCATTAGGGTTTACGGTCCAAGAACATGTTGGACCGTAAACACCTTTGATCTTGTGTTTCTTTGTGTTTTCTAGTTGATTAAGATGTGTAACAAGACTTATAACACATTAGGGTAAGAGTACTTACTATAAAGAAACTTGAAAGGGTGTTAAAAGTCCAAGAACACTAGTGTGTGTTCTTGGTGTTCTTGGTGAAACTAAGAACACTTGAAGATCTACACAAATGGAATTATTTCACAGATGGAATCATGTAAGTGATGGGTTTTATACAAACAATCATATGTGTGCATGCAACCCTAGAGTTGGATCTATGTTTTCACTATTAGTTATACAACTTTATGAATACAAAAAGAAACCTGGCATGCTAGTACTAATTT